AAAACCATCAATGGTATGCTACCCTTTCTCATGTAAAAAATGATAATACATGGTGTCCATATTGCTCTAAATATAAACGTGAAAGATTGTGTTGAGAGATTATGTCAAAATATCTTGGACCGCCATCTAAGATACGTCGACCTGATTTTCTTAAAACTTTAGATCACCCAACTGGATTAGAACTTGATATTTATTATCCGCAATATGGATTTGCAACTGAAGTACAAGGAAAACAACACGAAAGATATATAAAATTCTTTCATAATGGTGATCCCAATAATTTCGCTAAACAACAAAAGCGGAATCAACTCAAAAAAGAATTATGTGAAGAAAATTGGATCGTTTTAAGGTATGTTTGGTATTACAAGAACCCATATGTAGTTATTCCGGAACATCTTCAAGAATTGGGTCTCATTAAATAAACTCGAAACTTTAAATTCTAATTGTTAGATATTACAGTATAGAAAAATCACTTTTTAATTAACTGAAAAAGCTTTGTTTTCAATATATGATTGAACTGCAAAGAGAAATATATCAATGAAATTATTATATTCGTAATTTATGTAAGATCAATATTTTTGAATCAGTCCAAGATGCCCACATATTACAACCATTTTTTAACATCAATCCAACTGGAGAAGAGCATTTGCGTACGAAAGTTGCAAAGGTCTTTGTTCAGCTCTTGCATCATCAAAGGATGCTTTAACATCATGAACCAATAACTAAATTTATAAATACATATGATTAGTGGAAGTTTAATATCATAACGTAAATCCACATTAATACATACCGACCATTTCAATACACTTTCATAGAAATAAATGAAATTTTTCATTTCAGAAAATTTTCGAGGAAGATTGGCATTATCAATCTCGTTTAATCTATACGTTCCTGAATTAATATTTAGTAACAAATCATCAGTACATTCTTACAGTGTAATTTTTCAATAGAAAGAAAACACATACCATAATAATCAAGAAAATATAAATATATCCGAAGACAAAAACTTTGTCTACCGAATACATACAACTTTTTTGGTAAACGTTACCTGCTTTTGATAGTTTCCTTTACAATATTCGCGAATATATTCTTTAAATTATCTGTTATTTTTTTGATGTTATCGGTTTCCTTTTTATCTTTTGTTACTGGTCTCGAGCCTTCAACATAAATGAGCTGATACTTATCAGCATCCGTCATGTAACCAACTCCATCAGCTCGATTACCATTAGTGTGATTTTTCGACGCTATCTCGCCGAATTCATAGTGTATACCAGCAATGTACCATAAAGAAGCGTCAAGACATGGGTGAACGAAAGCATTAAGATGCGCATGTTCTATTGTGCCAATATTTAAAAGTGGGTTCTGTTCTTTGAGTGAAAATGCCTTAATACTACACAAAAGAAAGAAATATTCAGAACAGAATCTGAAAAAATAAATCAATATAATGATAATGCATATATACAATTGTGGCAATGTACGATGTAAAACTCGTACCACTGAATTCATTATGAAATCACCTTTTTCTGGTGCTCTTAAATCATCGATTTGGGAATTCCACTCCTCAGTTGTTAAGTTTTGTGAAAAAAATTTACAAGAAATTCGTGAACATTTGCGGGGACCAACGTCTCTGTCTTGGTATCCATTTCCATTAAATACGATGTTGCTACTTGTCTTGAAAGTTCTTTTAAAAAGGGTGATTTTAGTCGGAGGTCAATTAGATCACCATCAGGGTATTGCGCTTTATAAATCGTAAAAATCTTTTTTGATGCGTCTGAGAGTTCAGTATTTCCTAAGATGTTTGTTATCTGGTAGAAAAAAATCAGTGTTAAACATTTGTTGGTTTAAAGTGCATTATTAGATAACTACTTACAATATTATCTTGAATAGTTCTCTTCTCATCATTTCCTTGGGAGCGATTTTCGAAAGAATTCTCAGTCGTTGCTTCCTCTTTATTTTCTTGAGAGGAGTCTTCATCTGTATATGTAGTTTTTTCAGAGGAAGTTCCAACATCCGTATCTGTAAGTAATCCACGATAATTCGATACAATTACTCTCTCACTTCTCGTTCTTTTTTCAGATTTAGTTTTGCGCTTGTTTATGAGATGGAAAGGAAAACGTCAATTTGTTATTTATGTTATAAATGATTGTTGATGTTCGCTATCCATTGTAAAGGAATTAATACGTTAATAGAGTCACCTTTTTTGCCGGAATTGTAGCTTCTTCAGTACCCGTCTTTTTTTCATCATTATCCACATCTCGACTATGTTTCCCCTGACGATTGTCATTGTATGTTGCTTCATCTCCGGTTGAAAGTTGGTTTACCTGTTTTATCTATTTTACCTTTATATTGAATCGTGCACACTCTTTTTTGTAGTTCTTTAGTGGTATAGTCCAGTTCTTGACAAAACAAAGAATAATAATGAAATGTTCAACAATAACAATATAGAGTAAAGATAATAGAGTAAAAGAAGCACTGGACCAAGGGCCCTGTCTTTGTAAGACCTGAAGTCCCAGCTTGCACTAAGCATCGAACCTAAAGTTCATTACTGAAGACCTAAAGTCCCAGCTTGCGCTAAGCGTTGAACCTAAAGTTCATCACTGTTCAGACAAACCTCATTTTACTTTATCAGCACGCATACTTTCCAGTTATCCAGTATTTCCCGAGCTTTTTTCTTCTTTGTCGCGTCAAATCCAGAATTAGAATTTGCAATGTCTCGAAGATCTTTATGTATAAAACTCAGCAGTTCTTTCAAACCTTTTGGTTTTATTTTTGTACAGTAAAAGCCTATTACTTTAAGACACGTCCAATCTTCAATTATATTGTCGAGATAAAAATTGAGGCGTATGGACATGTTTTGCAGTTTGCTAAAAAAATCATTCATTTATTTCTGTTGTTTTAAAAGTCAAGGGTCTGTGTCATAAGTGCAGTAACAAAATCCTCCACGTGACTAGTGAAATATTTATTCGTACTTTAATGGAAAGATAACCGAATAAAAATTACAGGGGGTGCAAAATTTGCCTTATGATAAGGCACGCACAACAGTCTGCTTGAAGGGGTAAAGGGAGCACTCAGGTGGCGAGACCTGGTTACGTGTTGACCAAAGTTAGTCTAACGTATGTATCTGTGATTTCCGCTTATGTAGTCTTTGTGTCTCAACTAAAGCATTAATAATAATATACCAATAATATAAAAAATGCATCAATAGCTATCTTCGAAAAAATGAATTTATTGTATTTAATCTTACTAGATCGGAAGATAATCCTCTAGCAATTCGGTTGAGGTTCGATACTCCATTAGATTTGCAGAAAGAAATAGAGTTATGTCAGAAGCGTAAGACAAAAAATGCATTACCTACGGAGCCCACGAATTCTGAACCTGAAAAATCAGCCACGTAAGTG